GCTGGAGTGTTGCTACATTGCTATGCTATTTGAGGCATTGTCTTATTTTATTCCGGGTCACATGGGCTCTCCAGGGTCCTCTTTGATGGTTACTGCTATATCTATGCTCTTTAAACTGCACTGTTAGTCATAAATCTCAGTACAGAAATGAATTGTCTCTTGCTCTAATTTGGTTCATACCATTGGCCATTTGTTCTGAGGCCTCAGCTTGGTTGGTGTCCTTTGAGTTGCTCGTCTTCCTGATCTCGGGTCTTCAGGGTCCTCTCTTGGCCCTGCCTTGTAGGCGTGACAGTTACCAAAGCCTCAATGGGGGTTGGAACTTCCAGATCAAAGCTGGAATGGCTACCCACTACAGGGAGGCTTCCAGTCTGAGGAAACAGGCAGCTGAGAAATTGGCGAGGTGAGGCTGTGGCTTGTTCTGCTTCTCTGGTCTTTCAGCATTCACCCCAATAACTGGCCTTGGGTTTGTTTTTATTAATAAGACCTTGTAAGATTCCTGCTACAGGCTGATTACACTGTTCTTATTCTTTAGAAAATGTACCTCAGTATATTTTATCATTATTCTTTCCCATCTTTAAACATGGCATAAATGCCAATGAGTATGTGTAATGAATGTATATGTCATTTGAAACTTACAAAGCAATGACCACATACATACTACCAAACATTAGAGAAATAAATTATCTCTTTAAAAGTATTCTGTGATTCTAGGCTGACTTCCCATTCCAATACCCCTTTGCTGAAGTCAAATTATAAGGAGATGGGAGTGGACTTAGTGATTCGCGTTCCTTTTGGCAAGAGAGAAAAGTACAAACACCATGTCCAGAGGACACTTGAGCTACAGGAAACACTCAGATGATCACACTGGAGGCTGGTGAGGTCACATAGGCTACCGTTGCTTTCTGGCATTCTGACAGGTGTTCTGAAGCACTGCTAATTCTTCTGGTGTCTTTGTGTAAATATGAAATTTTTATTCTTGCTGTCTGCTGTAACCACGTGCTCAAAAAAAAAACTATAAAACTGTGAATCCATAAGATTCTAGCAACCTCAGAGTTTACAGACCAGAGCCTACCTACCCTTCCATCATTCAAGTTTAACACAGGTGGCTTCAGAGCTCCTCAGATGGGCTGGATTGTTACCAAATGCCATACTCATGCCAGGAATTCTTTGAAATGCTTGGCATCCAGTGTTTAGGTAGAGAAGCTCTCTCTTTTCATGCTCCTTGCCCCATGACTGGACTTAAGAGCAAGCTGGATTTTGGAAACATAGCCTGGAAGTCATTTAGCAAGCTGCAATTGTTATGAACTGGGTCAGAGGCCTGATGACTACTAATAAGAGTGGGTCAAGCTTCATGTTATCTGACGTGTTGAGTATGCCCAGTGGAACCCTGAGAGGTAGTGTACTGAGCCAAATGAGCTGAGGGCTCATGTGGGACTTATTTATTTATTTATTATTTTTAGATAGTATCTCATTATGTATCCTTGGCTGCCCTGAAACCTGCCATGTAGCAGGCTGGTCTGTAACTATGATGTTTCTCTTACTTCTGCCTCCTGAGTGCAGAAAGCAGATACATAAATCTCCATACCTGGCCTGTCATGTTGAATTCATTTTTTAAACTCTATGAGTATATGCATTTATATGTGCACCTGTTCATGTGTATAGAGACCATAAGGTGTCATGTCTTCTCTCCTATTGCTTGCTGTCTGTTGCTTTGTGGTAGTGTCTCCTCACACCTGGGCATCATGTTTTCTCAGCAAACCAGGAAGCCCCAGTGATGCTCCTGTTTGTACCCCCTCAGAGCTGGATCAGAGGTGTGTAGAGAGTTTTATGTTTGTATAGGTTTTTATGTTTAAATTTTATGTTTGTATGTTTATGTATAGGATTTTTATATTTTTATTGAGATCCAAAATTTTGTCCTCATGATTCCACACCAAGCATTCTTCATTGTTGAGCCATTTCTCCAGCACCACATCAAATTCTTAAGTCCAGATAACATATGTGTTAGTTTACCTGGGACAATTCAGGGTTAACAATCCTATCCCCATTTAGTTATTATAATTTTGCCCTTTGTTTTTCTTTAAAGCATCCCAGCTTTGGACAGTAATTGATATGGTCATATATATTAGCCAACTTTTTTGCCATGACAACAAATCCTTTTAAAATCATAGAGACTCCAAACGCCAACTCTTTAGGTTTTACTCATGCATCTGTGCCTCACTTGCAACTGTACCACAGGCTGTGAGTCAGGTTAAATCTATTCCTCACTCTAGACTTGGAGCTTGTGCCATAAATCATTTTTTAGGGTGCAAAGGCTTGATGATCAGCCCTGACATAAGGGTTCTTACTCTCATGCACTAAGTTGGAGCTCAAAAGTACCTCTCGTCTGAGGCTGATGATGTGTATTGTCTCATTTTCCACTGGCAGAACAAGTCAGTGTCCCAAACCAACACAGAGAATTCCAATTTAAACTGGATCCATGGGGGGAGAGTATTATGACATGGGAGAGTGATCAGTAGATAATACACAGTGACCACCTCACAGTCCTAACCCCACTGTCTCCTACAGTCCCCCTCCTCCAGCCTTTGCAGCTGCTCTCCTTTGAAACAGTGTTTTTCAAAACAAAACTGCAGTAGTTAAAGAAGGAGTTTTGCCTGCATCTTGAGTACAGACGGTATCAAGGGATTCTACTACTATGTGTAGCCTGGTTTGTGCTCAGATTCAACTATGGGGGCTGGGGGTGGGGCTTGATGTCTGCGATGCCAGTTAATGTGACTCCAGCTAGCTGTTGTAGAGGTCTGTACGTATAGAGGCTTCACTTCACTATGTCAGAAGATGTCACAGCCAAGTGGAGGAGCCGGAGGGTCATACCTTGTTCTTCATTGCCCTAACCATGTCACAGATCTATGAAGCAAGATGACTAATGCCTTTACTTTGCCTCCATCAACTGTACAGCCTACTCCTTCCACCTCTCTACCTGGAAATCGTTTTTCTTTTTCTGTGTGTGAGATAAGGTTTTTGGCATAACAAACTGTCCTTGACCTCACTATTAGACCAGGAATGACATTAAAACCCTGGTCCTCCTGCCTCAACTCCCCAGTTTGGGCATTACAGGCATGTGCCATTGTGCTTGATCTATGTAGTGCTGGGAATCTAGTGCTGGACCACCTGCATACTGGGCAAGCATCCTGCCATCTAAGCCACTTCCCCAGCCCTGAGCCTGGGGTTTTCGTTTTTGATTTGATTAGTGTCCCCTCACTGGTTATTCTTATGTGTTTGGTATTGATTGGCTTTTCTACAACAACTCCAGAAATTCCATCAAGTTACTCAGTGATGATGATATATATTCCTTGTAGGAAATTGCTCATCTTGCCTCATTGAGATTTTGAGCTCAATTGATGCACTAAAACAGGAATCCTAGTGTTGTGAGCAGTAGTAAAATAGTGTTTTTACCACAACAAAGATTGACTGGGTTGAATGAGGGTATCCATTTTGCCCATCAGCAACCTGGTAGCTGGTTCCTTTCAAGAGCAATTTTCATGACAAAACGATTATCATTTCATAAGAACAATCAAAGTCATGGTAAAAAAAAGTATGATTGGTAGTTGATCAATTTTATTTAATGGTAAGTGGTGTAGGTCCTTCATGATTTAGCAGGAATATAACTGTCACAAATCATAGAACACTTAGGCATATTAATTTTTTTAAATTTCTCTAGAATATGAACCTATGAACATATGAGGTCTGTCATCCCATTGTATCTCCAAAACTTAGCTTACTGTCTATCACATAATAGACATTCAGAATACTCTAGGAGGAGCAGTGCAGATTTTAAAAAATAACTAGTAGAGGTAAAACCTGGGGAGAGTTTTGGGGACCTGAGTTACAGGATGGACATGTAGGAACATCCTTTAAAGTAGTGGTGTCAGAGATGAAGATTCATGCTTCAGTCTCTCCAACCCTGTCTTGAGATAGGAACCTGAGAGAGACTAAATTCTGCCTTTAAAGGTATGAGTATAGCTGTAGAATACTGTGTGGCCATGAGACTATGGTCCACATACAGTCACCATCATTCCCGGCTATATCCCCTTGCCCTTACCTCCTTGCCTTTGCCTGCAGACCTCCACTGTGGCTTCGGCACTGGCTTCCATGTGGGATGTTTTCTGGCCATTGAAGCTCATTCTTCTTCCTAATGTTGGTATGAAATGTTCTTTAGATCTGCCCTCAAGTCAGTGATTGAAAGGAATGGGTAGAGGGGCCCTGGACCTTTACTTCTTGGGTGGGGTAGCCCCTAAGGTGCATGGAACTCCTCTAACAGTTTAACCTGTAGCCTTCACTTTGATAACTGGCTTGATGATACACAACATACTACTTCCCCAACTTTGCCTGTCTGTTTTTTTGTTTTTTTTTTTTTTCATCTTCTAAGAAAACCTCTTGCTCTTGAATAGATGCCCCAGGATTTACTACTGGGGTAACTCAAGCTGTGATGGTCTGGGTTCTCAAAACCTAAGTGGTAGGTATTCTTGATGCTACAAACTACACTAAACATGTGAACTCAGACTATTAAAAACTTAATAGAAGGAAAAATGTAGTTTAATTCCTAAATTGTATGGCTCTCTGAGATGACAGGGTAATTTTAAAAGACAGTTACAAGTTCTGTGCTCAGAAAACTTTAATGACAGGTATTTCCTGTAGAATAGTCTAATTCAACTTGCAGGGACACTCAAGAGTCTCCTTTAATACATAGCGTTCTGTTGTTTCTAAACACAACTTGCATGCAATGTTATCTTCTTTCTCCCTTTGCTCTTGGAGCCTCTGGTTTGTGTCTGAATCCTCATTGTCAGGTAATACTTCAGCATCTCCCAGCCTGGCCTTCAGAGTTGGGCCCTTTAGAATGAGTGGATGAGATGGTCCTTCCGCCTGGACTGCGCAGTGGGTGGCCATGAGAGACATCATTGCACTGACTTTTCCTTTTTTCTTTGCAGATATCTCTGTGAGCCTGCTAACCCTTGTGGTTACCGCCTGTGGTCTTGCCCTCTTTGGTGTCTCTCTCTTCGTGTCTTGGAAATTGTGCTGGGTTCCATGGCGAGATCGAGGCCTGTTCTCTGGTAGCAAAGACAACAACCAAGAGCCTCTTAACTACACAGACACAGAGACCAATGAGCAGGAGAACAGTGAGGACTTCCTAGACCCACCCACACCCTGTCCTGACTCTTCCATGAAGATCAGCCACACTTCCCCCGACCTTCCCCTTTCCACCCAGCCAGGTGGCCAAGAGAACTGTGCCCATGCCATCCGTGTGCAGCGACAAGTCACAGAGCCAACGCCGTCAGCTCGGTCAGTAATGCCCCTTCCCTTATGAATGCAAGGCAAAGACCACCGTATCTTCCTTTCTTGCTAGTGATGGTACTGACTAGCAGAGGATCAAGTAATCATCTAGATGTCCTCTCAATCCCAGAAACATGAAAATGGTACAACTCTGTGGTTCTTTGCTGGACTTAGTTACAGAGCTCTGCTTAGTTTCCCTGGAATCCATAAAAATAATGTTTAACATTGTTCCTTTATCATGTATTTGTTATTTTTGTATAGTTTACAGTTCTGAAATGTCTACTATTATTTTATTTTTTTAGTAAGAGAAATTTAGAATTAAGGAGGATGTATATTAATATGTACCCAGGTCAGGATTTGGACAATAGAATCTGAGTTCTTAGGTACTTTTCTTATTATGTCCTCCTAAAACCATAAAATTGACTTATTGTGCTTCTGAACTATCCTAGCATTCACAAATAGGCTTACTTCAGATGCCACACTATAACCGGAAGTCTTTGTTCACCCCCAGACTTTGTAACAATTGCAGACTTCTAAGAGCAGGGTTTCTATTGCCTACATATTGTGTGTTCTTAAGCAGTGGATCAATAAGGGTATACTGATTAAAAATCTGTGGGCTCTGGGATGTAAAGAACTGCTTTATTTACATGTGTGTCATACATGGCATTGAAAAAAATTACATAAACTCCATATATGTCCATTTCAGATAATAGAAGGATAGTAGAAGTACCAACTTAGGAGTTGTTTTCAGAATCAAATGGTAACACACACTTGCACAGATTTGCACTGGTAGCACTGCCATTTTGCCTTCCACATTGCTGTTTTCACACAATTATCACTGAAGCATACATAACTCCCTCAAGATGCTGAGGTTGAGGCACTCCTCTCCCAAAATGTCAAGGTTGTGCAAAGGTAACTAGTTCTAATCCCTGGATATAAAACCTAATTTGTGATAAGAGATTTTAAGAAAGAAGACATGGGAATCAGCCTTTTTTTAAAAATTAAAATATTTGCTTGAGTGAAAGCCAGAGGAATAACATATGCAATTATTTTTTTTGAAATATGAACATAGTATGGGATGTTTTTAAAAAAGCTTTCTGTTCTCTAGAAATGGGAATGATAATGAAGTTTATCCTAGAGAGTGCACTCATTCACATTAAGTGTGATAGAATATGACAGTTTATATAGTTTGATTTTTTTTCAGAAACTTATTTTAGCATTATTTCTAGTTCGATATCAAAAACCAAAACTTAAAATAGTCCTCCTTGAGGAAGTTGCTCTGTTTGCCTTCTAATTTGCAAGAAACCCTCAGACTTTATCTCAGGGATTTCTTTTCAAATAACTAGAGTTGGTATCACCATAGAGTTCACACAGTGGGACAGACTTACATAACGAGGCCCTTTTAGTGTCCCCAAGACCTGGAGCTTTCCATGTGGGTCACTACTCATTCACTTGCTCCTATCTGAGTTCCCTCAGATACAGAGTGAAAAAAATGTTCCTAATAGATGTGGTCTGTACATCCTGCCCTATAACTAACAAACTGCTATCAATGGTATCTCTGTAATTATCACAGTGTTTATCATAAAAATATTTAGATAGGCTGTATAAAGAAATGTGTTTAAAAGACAAAACCAATTGTTAGCATCACCATAGGTTTGTGGAAATTCAGTAAAAGAAATTAAAAAAGAAGAAGAAAGGACTAATCCCTGTAGAGTGCATTTTATATTCAGATTATTGTAGGTTTGGAAATATGCAGTTAAATTATCTTTCAAACGGTGAAAATTGGGTTCAGTAACAGCTGAACTGCCATTAGCAATCTAAAAGCTTTTCAGCTGCATTTGACCTAGTATTTACAATTTGCATTGCTTCGCATTTAAAAAATTCATGCCTAAGTTACTACTGACCTCGTTCCTTGTGTTCTTCCTGAAAATGCATCTTTGTCTAGCAGTGTATCATACACTGATCCTCAAATTCATTAGCAATTGTTTTGTAAGAATGTTGTACACACATGCACACACAAATAAGAGAGAGAGAGGGAATGAGACAGAGAGACAGAGAGAGAGAGTGTTGTGGGAGCTTTCCTTGGAGAGTGTAAACCAACTCTCTCATTCACAATCACCACCAAAGCAAGGTTTAATTCCATCAGTGTCTAACTTGAGGGATTAGTGAATTTATTGGGTTACTTACAGGAGTGTGGGTGACCCCAAAGCAGCCACACTAGCAGAAAGTCTCACTCTAGTATGGACAATGACTTCCCATAACTACATAGAGGGAGCTTCTCACCACCATTGCCTCAGTTAACCTGCCACAGACTATATTCTCTAATACTTCCTAGGACCCTGAGGCCACGTGGAAGTGGAATTGGGTTAGAATTGTGTACAAATGGCCCGAAGTTGGAGGGGGAGGGGCAGGAATCTCAGGTAAGTGTCCAGTGACCCTCTTTGTCTTGAGAGAATCACAGTAGTTAACAAGCTAGATTTCAGGGGTCTTTTGCAAGTAGTCACATCTACTCTGCTGAAGATGATGTCTGTATATGCTTGAAGGAATGACTCTACAATACACGCACAAACTTTTTTACTGACAAGATGGAAAAATGAATGAAATTTCCTTTCTTCATTCAAAAGATTGGTATTTTTCTATGGCTCTAAGAACCAAACATAGGCACTTGGAAATGCTAGGCATTGCCTTATCACTGAGCTTCATACACAGCCTTCTAAACCATTTAAAACACTCTGTTTCAGTACCATGGTTATGGGGTGGGCTCTGCTAAGATGGTCCAGAACCTTCTTCCCTTCATGTTTTTATCCCTCTGCCTTCATGCCCCTTATGTCCTTTGCTTTTTCACTGTCTTGCTTTTTCTATCCTGCCACTATTCCCTCTTGTCCCATGGTTTCCAGGGTTGCTCCTAGGCCCAGTGCACAGTGTTCAGGGTACACTCCTTGCCACCATGGTTGGCATAGCTTCTGCTATAGCATTTCCTGAGGAAATCACTTTACCTGGCCCTCTTTCCCCAGGAATGTTGTGCTCACCTCATTGCCATGGGAATGAGCTAAGCTTTGTCTTCTAAGAATGTGAGCTGGGTGGCCATGGCATACCCCAGCACTCAGGAGGCAGAGGCAGGTGGATTTCTATGAGTTTGAGGCCAGCCTGGTCTACAATAAGATCTAGGACAGCAAGGGGTACATAACACAGTGAAAAGCTGTCTCAAGAAACAACACACACACACACACACACACACACACACACACACACACACACACACACTGCGTCTGGTTAATTCAGTTACTGCGGCAACAAAACCAGAATTCCTGTTAGTTTTTTTCATCTGGTGAGACCTTCTTTGAAGTATTGACCTAATATTTTGGGAATGTGGGTATGTTACTTTTCTCAGAATTTTTCAGTATCAGAGCTTTTTAAGAAAACTTGAATATATGAAACTTCCTGGATCCCCAAAGTAGAGGGAACTCAAACTGCCTTCTACTCAGTTTCCTGAATCATGTCCCATGATGAAAGTCCAGGCATATTTTTAAGTCTCAGATTTCTTGCCTAACAATTTGCTTTTATGACAACTGAACTGGTCATATGACAACTTCCCGTCAGATCTGTGAAGGCCCTGCAGCCTCCTGCCAGGGCCACCATGATGCACAACTCTAGTGGTTACTGTTCACTTGGACCCCATAGAAAGCTCACTATTCTTAGCTATACTTGCCTCCCCTACTCCCTGCCATATCTGAGCCTGTTCTTGCCTAGAGTCCTTGGCACATTCTGTTCCCTCAGCCACTGATGTTTTTCCTTTTATTCTTACCTTCCCTGCCTTTGCAGTGCTAATGTCCTAACTTAAATGTCCCTGTTGAGGAGGCTCAGATACCCCACCTGAAGGGTATGTTCTATCCTCTACTGCCTCCCACTCTTGTTTTGCATTTTTTTGTTTTCACTCCTTCATGACATTTGACTCTCTTTCCAAGTCATCCTTTGTTTCTTTAGCATCCATTCTTTCCTCTAGACTGCTCTGTGAGCTCAAAAACCTTATCTGTTTGTTTCTTTTTCTCTGTTTAGTCCCTGGTACAGCTCTGGGAATAGCAGACTCTCTCCTATGAATGACTAACAGACTACATTGGCCAGTAGCAGTCTACATTTCTCTGACAATGATGGCAAAAGGTCAGAAGTATAGACTAGGAAGGGTCTTTAATGGTGTGAGGCCAATGGAAAGTCATTCATCTCAGGCTTCACATTTATTAAGAGTCTCCCTTGTAAACCTTTGACCCTATTTCTGTAGTAAGCAACCCATAGAGTCATAGAAATGCACTGACAGAGACTAAAGATGGAGATAACCATCAGTCTTCACATTTAGATACTTTTATTGGCTACAACCCCAGTAAAGAGTACTCAAGTTAATGTTGTCATAACTCTATGGGATGTTCTTATTTTCATGGCTGGAACTGAACCCAGAGTCTCACACATGCTAGGCAAATGCTCTACCACTGGGTTGTATTCCCTAGCATGTATGCCCCAGCATAAGTGGCATGTTTCTATTAAGTCCTATTTTGGTATTGAGAACAAAAGGTTCTTAATTACTCTTACAGTTATTTATTCAGATTTTAATAAATGGATGATTTTGAAAATTAAAGTTACCTAGACCTCTGAATTCCCATAAAACCCAAAAAACTACATTTAAATGCATATTTCCCTACTAATATTTAATTATAAGAAGGTGTTTTATCCATGGCAGTAATGCATTTACTCTAAACATGCATATTAAACATCTGTTATGTGGAAA